CAATCGACTCCCAAGATACAACGGCTACACTTGTGTTTGTAGCACTCCAAAACACAAGTACAACGAACCAAATGTAGGCTTATGTACTCCACAGATGAAATGAAAGAAAATCAAAATAAATGAAATGATTTTGATTTTGGATAGAAGAGAGGATGAGAGACGTTTTTGCATATCAAACTGTGAGGAATAGGACACCCAAAGGGTCCTATTTATAGACCATGAAGGGGTGTGGACGAAATGGTTGACGCCAAACCATGCACCCTTTCCAAACAGTGCACCCTTATGAAAAGGTGTCTATTCACTAATGATTGAGGCCTTTTTCGTAATTTCTCATTCATCCGATATTGGTTTTCGAAATGCCAAATATACCCTTCAATACATGCAGAGAAATCAAAATTCTCTTTCGGGGGCGTTGCCCCCGACCCCCCAAGAGGGGCGCTGTCCCCTCGACCCTCGCGACCTGATCGGGCAGGTCGATCCCCGTTTGTGCGCCCCGAAGCGACGAAGTGGCAAACAATTTTGCCTAAACGGATTGAGTCGAGCTTTTGAGTATTTGGCCGAATTCGATACGAACTTTAATCGATTTTCAATTCTCAATTTATTTAACCAATATCCAACAAATATCACTAGAATTTGGTTCTTTCTGACAAGAACTGGGGGAAAGGGGCTAATCTGATGGCTAATATTTATATACAGTTGCAACAGCTTTTAGTTGAACCAAACAGGTGGCAGATTGTGCTCTCTGCACTGGTGTCTACTGGGGGAACTTGAATTGATAGTAACATATAAAAGGATGCCAAAACTCATATATTTTGTTTTAGATTAAGATACAAATCAATACTACAACCACATTCCAAAATCAAGTTGACCCAAGGAAACAGAAAAGAGAGGTTTACAATGAGGTACTCACTGGTTTAAGAATATCAACTTCTACAAAGCTTGCATCATGCCAGCAAAAGCATAAGCTGTTGAAAAAGCTAATTCAAATGCTCGGTGCATTAGAAATCCTCCAAAGATCCGACCATGAATGTTCCTTTGCTGTGGCTGACAAATTAAAGAGTTCTCAAGGTGTGTATCTCTGAGGAGAATGCTGGCATGTCACAGAAGATCCGTTCCTCCGCAGTAATGCTTCAAAGCTATTCACCTCTCCATTCTCAATCTCCTTTCTATCTTCTTTCATCTTCCTTTTCCTCCGTAAATTTCTTGCTTCTGATGCTTCTTAAAGAATTTTTTTCCTGTTCTGTTTCTGGACACAGTCGATTCTTTCCTTGTTTTGTTGTCGCGAGCCACAAAAATGAAGTTGGCCATCAGAACAACTGATTCTGAACCGTCAGTTATCTCTGCGGAGGAAACTCTTTCTTTGTTAATGCGTGAACGAAAATAACGTCAAGCAGTCTTAAGTTTCACAGCATGCCAAATAGCTTATGATTAACTTATAATGGAAGTTGAAGACTAAAGAAATTCTGAACGAGACAGATCAGTTAGCCAAATAACATATGGAGAGATCGACGATTGCCGGATGAAATACCAGGAAAATACGAAGCCAGTAATGGTAAAAAAAGTTGCTATTATCAGTTTTCAACCTTTTGAGATCTTGATAAATTCTGAATTGCAGAGAGCCATACCGGTGTTTAGAAATTAAAGAAATGCACCGGAAAATATAGTTGGACGAAGAGTGTCCATGACATGGATTTAAATGGAAAAGCATGCAATTGGTAAGTCATCAAGCAAACAACATAATAACAATATTCACAAAAACTTCACATAAAATTAAAATGTAAGTACGGAGGACTAATCATGAAAAATCTGTGAGTTGAGCTTTAAGTGCAGTTTATTCTCGTGAAAAAAGATAATTAGTTCTGAAGAAAATACCAGTTGGTGGCTGAGTGACTTCTAGTTGAATTTCAATAGAAGATCGGCCAACCCAAATAACAGCACCATCTTCAGATCAATTCCAACGCTGATGGGCTTCTTCAGAACCATTTTGTCAACAGAAGCAGTTACCAGATAGAGTAGTCTAGTTGTGCTATCAACATCGGAACAATACTAATGCATGAGAAACGGAATATTACAGAAAAAGCTAGATAATAACGTTTTGAATAATATCTCAACTCCTGTAACTCTAAGACAACTAATATCTTTTGTAGTCCTTGCACGTCGGAACAATTTTATTTGAATGCATCAGGACTAACAAAACTAAATATTACACATTTTTTCTATTATTTATCTGATATAAAATTGCTTGTCAAACACAATATGAAACTGATATATTTTGGTCAAGCAAAGCCACCACTTAGAATTATCTCATATACAGGATGCTGTAGTCCAAACTTGAATAAATAAATGAGTGCCCAAGATAGAGTGGTTCAACACAATATGAGAGCATGCAATCTTTGAAATCAAGTTTCAATGCTATCCATTTGATGCCTTTGGTGAAAATTGAAACCGGTCTGCACGTGAACAGGTTTATTGAAGACTGATGGAATTGGTTTAAAAAAATAAAAAATTTGGTTAAGTATAATTTGGAAAAAGTGACTCGGTGTCAACTTTAATCAAATATTCAAACTTGATCCAATGGTTAGATTACAAATATAAACAGACCAACTTATTCTACTCGTCGAGTAGATCGTCGTAATATATTTGAAAAACAAATACCAATTCCGTATGAATGAAAAATTGTGGTCCAAAGTTGGCTGGAAATCCAACAAACCTCGCTCGCTAGGCCATCGCTCAAGCGACGGTCCAGTGAAGAGCGAGCGACGGATTCTCTGTTATTGACGCTCGAGCAAGGGTCCGGCGAGAAGCTAGCAACGGCTAGAGTTGTTTCTGTTCGAAAGGTTGCATGAGTTGGCTTGCATCAATTCATCCACCACCTTTCATACTCTATAAATAAGACACTTGGAATGTCCTTTTCCTTACACCAATGATATGCAATCGTAAGCATTTTTCTCTCTTCTTTCTCAACCAAAATTTGCATAATTGTTGCATAAAATTCTGGTTTTCTTTCATTTGCATTAAGTAGTGCAATACCATATTCTGGTTCGTTGTTTCTTGTGCCTGAAGTGCTGCTTACACAAAAAGATAGTCGTTGTATCTTAAGAATTGATTGCTTTAATCTGTAGGCACCGTTTCGGGGTAAATTCGACTTAAGGATAAAGTGTCCAACACTTGCCTCAACTTTGCATCAATTTTGGCGTTATTGTTGCTGCAATTTTATGACATTCTCTGTGTTGTTTGGTGAAATATTTTGGTCCATTTTTCCGTTGTTACTCTGCCGAAATTTCTACAAAACTTGTTCAAGTTTTTCCGAGCATTACTTACCACTCCGTTCCATCAATTTTCCAACAAAGACTAAATTTAAATATATAATATGTAGCTCAACAACAGTTTTAACCTTTTAGACGAGTCAACATCAGCAACAAGAAGAAATCCATAATGTTGGAGATGTAAATCAAAAGGACAAATCTTGAGCACACTCGGAGATTGAATACAAAAACAAAAAATAATGTCAAAGATTAAGAACCAAATGTAGTATTCAAAATTCATCTAAAAAAATTGTAACTTGACTGAAATAGTTCCAGCAAGAGCATCAAGATCAAAATATATTTAATTATTAATAAATACAATTCTTAATTAGAATTATTATAAGATATTTATTTTTTCAAGCAACTTCATGACCTCTTTCCAAGGATCACTATTATACTCTCAGTATATAATCAGAGGAAAAATTATACAGTGTCGGTTTTTGATACCCAATAAATATTGGGTTTTGATGTTAACGTGGGAATGTATATTTTATAGGTCTCGGCCAATGAATGAAATAATCATCAACAACCAAGTCCAAAGGTTCTACTCAGCCCATTTATATTACCTCTTGAATAACTTTGAATCTTGATCCATTTAGCTTTATTATTGGTCCAGTTAAAACCCTAATCTAGCCTATATACGGTCCCCTTTTCTTGCCCTAGTCGTGTGTGATTTGTGTGTTCTAGAGGTGAAAATGTGGCTGCTATAGAGAGGGAGAAAATTAGCTACTTTGTGTCCCAAAAACCAGTGGTTAGCTCCTTGATTTTGATCTCCTCCTTGTGCCTTTTTCCCTTGCCTTTGTGGTTACAAATCAACATACGGAACAGTCATCATACTTTTAGATGGAGTTTTTGTCAGCAATTCACTTTGTGGGGATGCATCAAGCAGGGGATCAAGAAGTCTCTCAACGTTTTTGACATTGTTTCCCATAGGGCATTTTGTCACGGGTGAATAATACCAGGCCACAAACAAAGGGTTTTTCTTATTGAATCATTTCCCTTTGGAGAACCCTCAAATGGGGAACTGAAATTGGAAAAAATAGGAATTAGGCTGGAAGGTGTTACAAGAATATAGAATAATATAAATTTTTGCCAGTGGAGAATATGTGTCAAAGTAATTAAGGCATTCCCGTTATTTGTAACTTTTTATTACTTATCTGGTCTTATAACTTTCCATTTGCTTTTATTTTCCTTTTGAACTCCATTTGTAGCCTAGTGATTTATTTCCTGAAGAAAGATCCACTAGCTCCCATATATGATTTTGTAAAATGAAACTTATTTCACTTTTGATGACATCTTTCCATTGATGTCTTCTTAAGGAGATCACAACTTCTTGATAACTTTGATATTCACTTTCTAACATTTAGGTCAGAAAATCGGGATCATAAGATTTTTCTATCATTTCTATTTTGCTACATCTTGGTTCAAACTCAATTTCCTTTTCTAATTCTTGGTCCTAACTATTTTCAAACATAGTCTCATGTGTTCGTTTAGAAGAGATTGCTTCATTTTCGGATCTGTATGGAAAATATATGTTTAAAGAATGAAACATTTCTCGATTTCATTATCGTGTTTTTGAGTATGTCTGGAATTTTATATTTATGCACAATAAATCGATAAACATTACTATTATGCGTATAGTCAATAAAGATGTAGTCTACAGTTTTTGGGTCCATCTTTACCTTCTTTGGTATTGGAACAACCACTTTAGTAAGAAACCTCATACTCGTAAGTATTTATAAGAAGACTTTATTCCTTTGGTCATAAGCGTCTATACCGTAAAATCGATTTTCGACAGAATAAAAAGACATAAACGAGGCACTCTACCAACTGAGGTATAACCCTTAGTGCTCGTGATACATATTTTATAATTCATAAGAGGTCTTTTTTATTTTCTTTTGGGACACCTTATTTAAAAGGTAATTTGTTGATAACATAGTTTCCCTCCATATGTTTTGAAGTAACACATAACTTACTAACATTGCATTCATCATTTCTTTTAAAGTATATTTTTTCATTCAGCAATACCATTTTGTTGCAGTGAATAAGGTACAATGATTTCATGTATGATTTCGTATTGTATACAAATTCAGCAAATTGTACTTCATAGCCACCACCTTAATCACTTCTCAATACCCTAATTTTCTTATTAAGTTGATTTCAATTTCATTTTTATAGAGATTAAATTTCTCAATGGCCCCATCTTTACTTTTAAACAAATGCATGTAATAGTATTTTGTGCTATTTTTGACAAAAGTAATAAGTACTTGTTACCACCTCTTGCTTGTACAAATTTTAAATCACATGTCGCTGTAAATTAAATCAAGTGGTTCTGTATTTCATTTAATTGATTTAAATGATGACATCATCAATTTTGTCTTAACACAAGTTTCACATTTATATTTGGAATCAATATGGAACGCGTGTATACAATTCAAGTTAATTAGTTTACGTAAAATATCATAGTTAACATGTCCTAATCCACCATGTCATAAATTGGAAGACAAGTAAGCAAAAGAGTTTACTTTATTCATTTTTGGTTTAACAACAATTACATTTAACTTAAACGTACCATCGAAAACATAACATTTTTCGACGAACATTCCAATTTTTGAAAAAATAACTTTGTGAGACTCAAATACAATTCGAAAACCGTGTTTATTCATAAGCAACTTAAACACTAGGTTCTTGCAAATTTTCGACACATGCAACACATTATTAAGAGTCGGCTCTTTTCTCGAAGTCATCTTCAGAACAACCTTTCCTTGACCCTTGATTTTAGAAGTTGTTGAATTTCTCGTGAACACTTCTCTCCATTCTTAATTGCTTCAAAAGTAGAAAACATTTCTTTATCAAAGCATACATGTTTCATGGCTTCGGTGTCAATCCACTACTATTTTGGGTTTGAACCCACCATATTCATTTCAGAAATAACGGCTGCGAGATTTATCTCCTACACATCACGTGCAGACAGTCAACCACATTTGTTTCTTTCTTCATCTTAGGCAATCTGCACTCCGAAAACTTATGACCCATTTTTCTTGAAACTTCCTTTTAGAATTTTCATCTTTCGGTCTTG